CTGCTGAAGGCATTGGGACAGTTTAAGTGGTTAAATACTGTGGTCACTCCAGGCTCTTGCTTGTATTGTGACAAAAGGAGCTCTTTTACTGACTTGGGTTCCCTCACTGGTCTTCAATATATATATATATATATATTTTTAAACTAGAGAAAATCTCTTACATCAGTTTATTTAGAGGGGAATGACATGGGCTCAACTGGCTACAACACAAACTCTACAACAAACCTGTATTTTGAATACTGTACGTTACTGGCTGTTGTACTAGTGTCAAGTCTTTTCCTGTGACCTCTTTTTTTCTTTGTTCCCACTTGTTAGCCAGGTATGTCCCCTGTTAGATGTAGCCAGCATGTCTTCGGCACATAAAAATAGGGAAAGGACATTTAAAAGTATAATTATAGGAGAGCTTATTGAAGTATGACACTACTAGTCTCATCCTCTGTACAGACGGGGAGGGCAGCAGATGGTATGAATGTGTCCATGTCAAGCAAAAGGCGGTTTTCTAAACACTTTCTCATGATGCAAATGTTTTACATTTAGATACCGCTGATAAGGGCATTCCACTTGCATATCCCAGTCATTAAAATGACTCGGTGTTGCATTCAGCTTCTCCTCAGCTATTATACTGTTAGCCAAAGGCCCAGTGTCCTTGGACTCTGTATCCAAGGTTACAGTATTTTCTACACTGTAATGTCAGACCACTTTCCCTCGCTTTTAATTGAGCGCAGGTTAACACACACTTAGATCCGCTTCGGTTGTAGCGTTCTGGAAATGTAACTCTTTTGGTGTGTTCCATTTCGTTAATGAAATGAAATGTGTGAAACGGTTTGTTTGTTTTTTTAATGTACTTATTCTCTCTTCGAGTTGCCTGTGGAAACTGAATTTTGCATTCTGTGTATATCTTGATTTTTCGATTTGATTATTACTGCGGTTAATTTAATCTTTGTATACTGTTAATGTTCTTTTGGGTTCCTAATATGGCTGTTTCCCTCCTCCCGAGCTCTTGAGTGTATAATATATGAAGTGATATGAAGTACCTTCAAGCATTAGAAACCAGTCAAACCTAGCTGTTGTCATGTGGGGTTTTTTTTTAATCCCCCAACTGTTTAATCTTCCTTTGTAAAGGTTTGGAGTTGTGATAAAGAAAAAAACATGTGAATCACTATGTGCTTTCCACATTTGAATATTCCAATAATTTTTCACCTTTGGCAACAGTTGGCTTTCCCATAAAATGTATTTTGAGCTAATCAGCTTTTCCATTTCTTGGAGTAACCCTGTAGTAAAAATGCAGTTACAATGAAGTACAGTCCATGAGGTCAAGAAAAGGAAATGTGTGAAGCGAATCTAAAGGATACATTGTTTCCTAATTAGTAATGTGTTAAATTAGCGAAATTTAGAATGAAAAAGATTTTTTTTCCCCCAATAAAACCTGCTATTGTGCAAACCACTCTTTCTTAAAGCGACTTTTTTGCTTTCTGGGCATGTATTTAATCTGGTTCTTCCAGTTCCCAGGTTAAAACATAAATATCATAGTTTAAAGGGAATATTTCTACATCAGAAAATGTTCCTTTCTATTGTGGTTCTTTCTGCAGTCAACTGAATATTCATTTGCCTTGTGATTTAATACAGTAGTGGAAGCTCTTGTTTTAATTAGTGCTGTGTTAGAGTTGTTGCTGGTAATTTAAACCTGATGAGAAAAGCTTTTATTGCTTTTACTTTTGAATATGTGATTTACATCACTAATCCATGAAGTGGCTTGATCCTCTTGTTGAATCTCAGTGAAATGTTCATCTCAATAAAGAACCAGTGATTTCTGACAAAAATCTCTACAGTGACTTGTTGCAGGGGATAGCTGGTACGTCTCTACAACATGCTGTTGAATTGCTTTGATATCTCGCCTTTTATGTCCAGAGCGGGTCCGTTCCGTGTTTGTGTGGGGTCCCTTTGCTGGGAACTTTACAAGGCCAGAGGCTAGGAAACAAACTTAAGATCTGCCCTCGGCTTCTCGGTGTCCTGCATGTATTACACTTTGAGAAGTCTTTTGCAGCACTTGTTTCAATGGTCGGTAAAACAATGTTTTGATCAATTAAATATTGACTGTGATAGGAGTATTAATAGGAGCCTGCCTCTGGTTGGAATTCAGCAAAGCCCTTTAGCATGTGTGTAAATTCCATTGATTTTTCTGGTTCTTTAGCAAGTGCATAGAGTTAGGCATATACTTAAATGCTTTCCCCGATCAGTGGTTAACACTAACAGTCCATCCCCTCTGCCTCCTGTCCCAGTGCTCTTCTGGAGTGAATGTTCTTCTTTGTCTAGTGGCCAAAGTAGGCCATTATCTCAAAGGCTAACACATTATCTCAGAATATTGTTACCCAGGGGTATGCTTGTAATAATACATCCTACACTCAAAATGCAAAATGGAAAAAAGAAAAGATTATGCTGTCAAAAGCTCTTAGGACTGTCTACTCTATAAGCCTTGACATTTATTTGAAAGTACAAATAGGAGTAATTTGAAGTTTAATGTGAATAAGTTTATGCCTTGCCTTTCAGCATAACAACCGAGGCTAGAAGAATAACTTGATGGAGATGGAGGGGAATACAATTGCTTATACAGCATAATGATGCTTTGGCTTCTTTCTAAGCAGAGTTATACGGATAGTAATATTAAGTCCCTGGGCACTTAGAGAACTGCCTCGCAATAAAGTTGTCCTATATTTGGCAGCTGTTCTTTGTGATTGGCAAATGTTTGAGATGCCTCACCTAGCAACTTTTGAAAGTGGGCTGCAGTAGGTCTAAAAATCTGTTTAAGCAAGGATAGCTCCTTGCTAGCAGTGGGGTTACCTGTCTGGAAGAATGACCTTTCCCTCTCAAATCCATCTAACATATTTCCAAATCATTTAGTTTCATCAGTTGGTGGCAGTTCTGCAATTAAGACATGTACAGTTCTACCCTTTAACTTTGCTTGCAGTTTATAGGTATCTGGTTTGATTATTGCTGGTCCCTGGTCTAATGGCTATTTTTCTGTTGTCACGGTAGTTCCTATGCTGGAAGCACAGGACTGGGAGTCGGGAGACTTGAATTCTGTTCCCACAGGCTTCAGTGGAGGCCAGGATTTCTCCTGTGCTTTGGTTTGCCCATCTGCAAAAGGCAGAAGAAACTTCCTTCCACATTGAGGAAACTGAACTAAACGCATCCCCATTTTTAAAACAGTCCTTAATAGATATCACTAGAGAAACCTAGAACAATATAACTGTGTGCTGGAGGGCAGCAGTTTGAGGTTAAAAGGCCACTTTTTGGTAAGATCCTTGGGGGGTTTTGTTGCTTTGTTTAATACATCACAGCTAATAGCAATTCAGTTGCAGAGGAATCAGGGTATAGCTATTCAGGGGAAACAGTAATTTTGGGACACTTTTAATTGCCTTTGAAAGGATAAAGATTTTCCCAGTAACTGAGTATTTACAATGCTTTTCCCATGCCCAGAATTTTGGATTCATGTATGCATTGGGTTCGCATTATTCATTCACCTGCTTCTCATTTCTGTGCCTCAAGAGCAGTCTTCAGGTTTCTTCTCCCTTTGATTGATTGATTGATTGATTGATTCATGTATTTATTTTTGCATCTTCTGCCCAAGTATGCAACTAAACCCTGTTATTGGCTTTGGCCCATTGCAGGGAGCTTTGACTTTTCTGGATGTTTAATCGGACCCAAGAAAAGAATCACTTTTGTTCTTCTTTTCCCAATGAATAGTGCTCAGCATGTTGCATCTGCCCACTTCAGTGACATTCATATCTTCACAGTTGGTTTGAAAACTGATTTCCAGCCCTGCAGTAATCAAGTGTCTCCCATTTCAAGCAATCTGATTCCAATCAGATTTTGTTTTCTCACTCAATCTCTGAGGTTCAGGCTGCAGAGGCCAGATGCTGAACCCACTAACAGACTGATTTACACTGGTGATAATTCCATTGGTTTCAATCATTCTGATTTACCTAGGGAGAAAAAAATCCTGCCTAGGTTATCTTCACGCTGTCTGGTTCAACATTGTCTAACACCAGTGGTCATTTCTTGTGCTTTTTTTTTTTTTTTTTTTAAATGAACACACCAACATTTCCGATACAGTTACAGAAGACAAAAATATTGCATGAAGCCATTTGTTACCCACCTCCTGTTATGAGAATGATATGGTGGCATGACGTGAAAGTTTGGATTTAATGGTAAGCAATGCCATCGAGTTACCAGTAACCAATTTACAACATTTAATAGCAGCCAGTTTGAACCTGAGATTTGCATTAAAGGCACTATGGAAGCTGAAGCAATATTGCCACTAATTTCAGAGATGTTAAAAGCCCAATCACGAACAGGAAGCTAAGGCATGGTCTTGTTTATAATCTTTATTGAGAATTTTTACAAGTATAGTCTCTCATTTTAAATCCAAAGTTTATCTCTCAGCATCCAGCAATCTGTGTCTTCCTCTTTCGGAGATGCAGGAAAGGACACAAACAGCTTTGTTGAACAAGTTACTTGGTTTGGTTCTCCTGGGGTTCCAGTTCTGCATTAGTGATATCAATATCTGCCCATGTGCAAGTGTGTGGATGACATTCATGACTCGGCTGTCTGATCGTTGAACAACATCTACTGCTTTTCAGGTTGGAATCGCTCCTTTTCTCATTGTAAGCAAAAAAAAGAAACCGAAGCCTTTTCCATAGAGCCATCTTTGTACTGCAGGTTTACTAGATCAGTGTGTCTTGAGCAGGATAATTCTAGAATGCAACATAATCCTTGAGGCCATAACAAAGTGAACTTGAAAAGATCTGAGGCAGATTGCAGCTGTACTTGGAGCTAAGTGATCCAGCAGATTTCCCTACTTCCAATTTACTGGTTGGGTAATGAAACACTACAGCTCAACCCTTTTGCGAGGGTAGCTG